AGTAGGCAGGCCCTTATCTCTCCTCCCTATTTACTGGCCTTGGCTCTGACCATAAGGTTTGGGAATAAACACAGGCCTTGCTGGTCCCTCCTGACAGTGATGGGAATGATGTGGGTGGCCAGGAGTGGGGCAGGATTTGACCAGCCCTCACCTGTGTCTCACCTTCAGGAGGGCACACCTGTCCTCACTCTCTTGGGTCCTTAGGGAGGCGGCGGCAGGCCAGGACTTGCCAATAGCTGGGTGGGTTGGTGTCTAACTGTTTCCCTCAAAGATCCCACACACTTGACTTGGGGAGGAAGGAGTATTAGGAGGTCATTTGGATCCTGGTCCCAGTCCAGACTCTCTGGCAATGCAGCAGGCATCTGCCCCATCAGGACCCCATTTCTGTTCCCACTGGCTCAGACACCAAAGAGAGGAGAGAGATAGGAATCAGAAGTCCTTGGCAACAATGTCCCTTCGGTGATGGAGCCTTCTGCAGCTTGCTTCTCGAGGCATCTCCTGGGACAGAAGGCGCCCTGGGCAGTCTCTGAGGCTGGCCATCCCTACCAGAACCTGAGGGGCAGCTGGGCCAGCTTTTTTGCACAGGAAGCCATCCTAGGCCAAAAAAGAGATAAGATAATGGGGCACTGGGACAGCCTTTGGGTCTCCTTGTCCAACTCCTCCGAGCTCTTTGTGATGAGGACTGAATGAGTGTCCCCGGGTACTATCTAGTCTAGCTTGGGCTCTGTCTGCTGGACGGCTCCTCACGGCTGACAGCTTCTGCCTGGTACCTAGGAGCCAGGAGGGCAGCCATTTCTCCTGACCTCATTATGTCAGTGCTGGATTCTGTCTTGAGGTTGGGCTGGGGACAGAATGTTTTTTCCTCCTCAGGACATTGTCACTCTCCTGTCCTGTGGCAATTTATCTTGGGGTCTTGTTTTGTTCCCGAGCAGGCCTAGCTTCAGGATTTTAACCCCTTGTCTGCCCAATTGGGGTGGGGGTAGTGTGGAAGCAGTGGGTCCCAGGCCTCTGATGCTGTCATGGGGGGCTGCCTATGCACCTCCTTCTGGCCCAGCCAGCTCTTTTCCCCCACACAGACGGGAAGGCCTCCCTGAGACCCTGCTGCACCCCAGAGCTGCCCAGGCCCAACATCCTGCTGGTGACTAGCAGCAGCACACAGCTTTGCTCTCCAAACCAGGTGTAGGATGGGGAAGACCTTGTGCTGGGCACTAAGGGCATTTTATCAGCTTCATCCTCTTACATTTGGGAGGTGAGTGTTATTCCCATTCTACAGAGGAGGGGGCTTGACTCTTCCAAGGTCACTCTTTCAGGGTGCTGGGCTTGAGGCAGCCCCACTCTGTCCCACACCACAACTCCTCCCTGCCCAGGAGTAAAGGGCCTTTCCTCTCCTTGCCTCTGGAGAAAGTTGCTCTACTTCCTTGGCCCAAGTCTCATGGCAATCCAGGCCCATGGGCATCCATGCTGGAGGACCCCTGAACTCTCTCAGAGAGGTTAGACTCTGCCTTCCTGGCCAGGCTGTAAGGTTTCTTGTCAGAATACTACAACACCTCCACTCTGAGCTGGTTTTCCACTGGGACTGAGACTTTCTGAGCACATGTTCCTGCCCATATCTCTCCCTCCCGGCACAACCCTCTACAGCTCCCTATGGCCTACTGAGTATTGTCCAAGTGTCTCAGCTTTCCTTCAGAGGTTGCACAGCATAGCCATACTTCCTTCCTCTGGCCTTTGGCCTGGCTTTAACCCCATCGCTCTTTTCACCACTCCCTAAGCATGGCTGGAACTCTGGTACAGCTCTGTCCCCACTGACTATGCCTCATGCTCCTTGTCCAGGCAAGCTCTAAAGTCAGTTTTCATACCCTGCCTCCAGCCGGTATTGTAGGTATGTTCAGCCAGGGAGGCCAGCCAGGTACTCATTTCCTCAGCTTCACCAGTCTGACCCTGTGCTGAATTTTATAAGCATTAAAAACTTCCGGATGGAACTGTCACTTGGAGATCTTAAGCCTGAATGTTGGCACTTAATCCAGAATGTACTACATTATCTTGATTGTACATTCATTTCCTGTCCTGCTGGGGATAAATGATCATACCCCATGAGGAAATTCTATATAAGCGATTATCAAAGAAGCCACACACAGTCACACTGTGACTTCACCACAGTCCCAGGTTTCTTGGGCCTTTCCCCACTGGAATTCTGTCACTTGTTGCCAAGAATTCCAGAAACAGGTTCCAATTCCCAAGGTCGTAGATGGCACTGGTTGTACAATTCCATCCTGGGGCTCATAGTCCCCTGGAAAGGACAAAATGGGACTTGGACTTGGAAAGACAAGGAAAGAGAGTAGACCTCTGTTCTTTTCCTTTCTTTTCTTTTCTTTCTTTCTTTTTTTTTTTTTTTGAGACAGAGTCTTACTTGGTTACCCTGGGTGGAGTGCTGTTGCATCTTATTTCACAACAACCTCAAACTCTTGGGCTCAAGTGATCCTCTGCCTCAGTTTTTCAATTTTAGTAGAGATAAGGTCTCACTCTTGCTCAGGATGGTCTTGTCATAAACTTAAGCAATCTGCATGCCTTGGCCTCCCAAAGTGCTAGGATTACAGGCGTGAGCTACTGTGCCCAGCCTAGACCTGTGTTCTTAAAAGGCGAGCTTTCCCAATTCCCATGGGCTGTCAATGCCCTGACTTGTCTGCCTCTGTGAGCAGGGTCTGCGTGAGTGTGTGGATGGGTGAGGAACACACACAGGTGTAAGCATGCATGGAATTCTGGGACTCATCCTCGATCTCTAGGCAGGAGGTGACTGAGAAAAGAAACCAGCATTTCAATGGCAATGTGGTAAATAGAGTATTTGGATGAAATGAGAACAAAATAATCTGTTTTTTTTTTTTTTTTCTTTTTTTTCTAAAATAATCTGTTTTCTCGCTTCAACATTATCCACAGTTTCTGAGGGTCTGCTCTTTCTGAGAGCCTGAGAACTGTGAATGTTCATGCCCTGTCGTGCACATGTGCAGCTCTGTGTTGCTGGGTGTGAGACTATAGTGGTGAGAGAGTATGTCCCTACCAGGGATTCAGGAGGCACCCAACAGCTCTCTGGTGATGCTGTGGGTGTGTTAATGTATGCAGGCATGAGCAGCAGGCAGGGAGATAGTGGAGGAAGGGATGTTGGAGGTGGGCTTTAAAGGATGAGCAGAGTTCTCCAGGCAGAGGAGGAAGACAGGAGCCCCTGGCGGCAGGTCCAGTGTGAGCAAAGACACAGAAGGTAAACAGTTTATAGAGATGACAAGTGGGTCAGCTGAGGATACTGCGTGACAGATGAGCCCGAAAGGTGAGTGGGCTGGGCTACTTGTTGGGGAGCTGGATTTGGGCCTATAAATCTCAGGAACCACCTTTGTGACAGATCCTGGTCAGAGCTGGTTTTGGAAAGCTTGTTCTGGGGGAAAAAACATTTATACAGAGAAAGTTCTGGGTTACAGTTACCATGATGATGTTCCCGCAGACACTATGGTCAGTGGAATACTGTCCCCTAGAGATATCCACATCCTTGTCCCCAGAATCTGAGTGGTACCTTGTATGGAAAAGATGATTTTGCACATGTAATTAAAGATATTGAGATGGGAATATTATGGATTATTTGGATTTGCCCCAAATGTATCATGGTGTCCTCACAAAAGAGAGGGAGAGGGAGATCAGATATAGACAAGAAGGCAATGTGACCACAGAGCAATGGAGCAGAGACTGGAGTGATGTGGCCACAAGTCAAAGATTGCTGGCAGCCACCCGGAGCTGGGAGAGGCAAAATCAGACCCTTCCCTAGGGCCTCCAGAAGGAACGGGCTCTGCCAAAACCTTGATTTTAGCTCCAAAAGACTCATTTCAGATTTCTAGCTTCAAGAACTTTAAGAGAATAAACATGCCTTGTGTTAAGCCACCAAGTGTGTGGTAGTTTGTTATATAGAGGCTACAGGAAACTAATACAGATACGCTCTTGAATTGCCATACATTATCAGCCATGGATCTCACTTTGAGAAGGATTATACTGAATTTGCCTGTGATTACTTCAGCTAAATAGACTAAATATGGGTGGGTGGGGGGGAAATCTTCTACTAAGACTTTCTATAGGTAAAGAACACAAATCAATCCTAAGTAATGAGAGGCGATTTACCAACTCAGATTAGAAACATAAGAAGTTAAAAGTTCTGCTGAAAAAGAAGGGCTTTTGCAACATGCTTTTAAGATCTAGGATTAAAGAACTGGCATTTCCCTTGAGTGTTTTAGGGCTCTGGCTACCATTAATCATTGCAGCATTCTTCAAAGCAACTTCTAGAATTCTCTTCTTTTACATGGAAGGCTTCATAAAAAAAATCTTGACACTTATTCTGACCAACTGGCAGTAATTCAGAGGTTCCTGTAACCCCCTTCTCAGTTTTGATAACTTGCTAGAATGGCCCACAGAACTCAGGAAGACATTCTACTTACATTTATCAGTTTATTGTTATATAAAGGGTACAAAAGAACAGCACATAGGGGTCTGGAAAGGTCCTGGGGAAGGAGCTTCTGTTCCCATGGAGCTGGGTGAGGTGGGCCACCTTCCTGACACCAGGCCTCCTTCACAGCTTGGAAGCTCTCAGAAACACACTTGATTAAATCATAGGTTATGGAGAATCACACTCAACCCCCCGCCCCTCTCCCCTTCCCAGAAGTGGAGGGTAGGCCTGAAGAATTGCAATTCTCTAATCCAGCCTTGGTCTTTCTGCTGACCAGGCCTATCCTGAAGCTGTGTAATAGCTCCCTGAGCCACCACACTTGTCATTAGCATGCAAGAGGCACTCTTATCACTCTGGAAATCCCAAGTATTTTAGAAGGTCTGACTAAATATTTACTTTTTATTATATCACACTCTCCCTCATTTAACTATGTGTTATGGGCTGAATTGTGTCCCTTCAAATCCACATGTTGCAGTCCTAACCCTCCAGTACCTCAAAAGGTAACTGTTTTTGGCGGTGGAGTTCATTGGTTATGGCCTCCAACTTTAAGAAGGGTAACATGACATCAAGTGCCCAGCGAAAAAGGATGAGTCCTAAGCCTGAGCTTACTGAAGAGTAGAAACAGGAAATCCAGAAAGCTTTTGATCTCTTTGATGCTGATGGAACTGGGACCATAGATGCTAAGGAACTTAAGGTGGCAATGAGGGCCCTGTGCTTTGAACCCAAGAAAGAAGAAATCAAGAAGATGATAAGTGAAATTGATAAGGAAGGGACAGGGAAAATGAATTTTAGTGATTTTTTGACTGTAATGACTCAGAAAATGTCTGAGAAAGATACCAAAGAAGAAATCCTGAAGGCTTTCAAGCTCTTTGATGATGATGAAACTGGGACTATATCATTCAAAAACCTGAAAGGTGTGGCCAAGGAGTTGGGCGAGAACCTGACTGATGAGGAGCTGCAGGAAATGATTGATGGAGCTGACCGAGATGGAGATGGTGAAGTCAACGAGCAGGAGTTCCTGTGCATCATGAAGAAGACCAGCCTGTACTGAGGTCGGCATCTTCCACTGCGAGCACATGCAGCGACAGTAGTGCCTGCCATTGTGTGAGATTTGGCTTTTGAGAACCCAAACTATTTTTCCCTCATTGACCTCCCTGTATGAGTTTAGTAGTGACCTCGAATCTATTTTAGACTTTTTGGGGAAGTGTTCTTTGATATTACAGTAAAATGACATGCTGGTTAATTTTCAAACATAAAACGAGAGCACATTAGAGTGGAGAAGGGGTCTTAGGCTTTGCGCACCTGCCATTTTGCCTTGTGTTCTTTCATTCTTGCCATGCAGTCCCACCTACATGGAAACACAGAATGACTTCTTAGACAAGCACATATTGTACCTGTGTCACCACAAGCACTGGGCATTCTTCAGTAGTTCCAGTTTTTAGTTGATGCCTGAATGTAGTTTTCTCTCACAAAAATGAGTGGACTCTAGCACTGGGATTTGGATGTGTGTCACTGCTATTTTGTTTTAACAATAAAACCTTTCTTAGTTTCAAAAAAAAAAAAAAGGTGACTGTTTTTGGAGCTAGAGCTTCTAAAGAGGTGACTAAGTTAAAAATGGGCTGTCAGAGTGGCCCTAATCCATTATGACTGGGGTCAAGAGCGGATGAGGACACAGACACACACAGAGGGAAGACCATGTGTGGACACAGGGAGAAATCGGCATCTTACAAGCCAAGAAGAGAGGCTTCAGAAGAAACCCACCCCACTGATGCCCTTGGACTTCAGGCTCTAGAATTGTGAGAAAATTAAATTTCTGTTTATGTCCCTGACTGTGGTACTTTGGAACTGCCGCCCATGCAAACGAATATGCCCTCCCAACACACCAGGAGGCAGCTTCTCTTATCATCTCCACTTTACAGGTAAGGAGATCACGGCTCGGGGGAGTTGTGTGTCCAAGGTCATACTGTGGGTGAGTGGCTGGCCATGCTCTCTCCTGCTTGCATCTCCTTGGGCACCTCCTTGTCAGGTACTCACTGGCCCTGGGACTGTCTTCTCTAAGACTGATGCTGCAGCCACAAGTGGTCCTGCCAGGCCAGCCCCCTACAGGGCAGAGAAGTAGGATGAAACGCCAGGACCCAGACCAGCACATCAGGTGCCACTACTTGGAGGGTGTGTGACTGGCAGGACTTCTGCACGTCCAAGCCACGTTCCTTGTTGTAAAAAAAAGTGATGTTGAGCAAGACCACAGGAGAGGAGGCAGCAGAGGCTGCTGCACCTCAACGTGGAGCAGGTGTCCCCTCTGTGGATCCTCTCAGTTCTCCCTGAGACCCTAGCCTATACCACATGTTGGCAATTTGGGCAGCAAGGGGCTTCTGGTCACTAATTGTGCCCCTCTAGTGGCTGGTGCCTCACCTCCATGTCTGCTCACAGCTGAGGAAACTGAAGCCTGGGATGGTGGTGTGGAGGGGGGTATAATTTTCTCAAGGCCCCAGAGTTGGAATTCAACCAAAGTGGGAATTCCAATCCAAGTCTGATTTCAAAGCTCTGCTCCTTCCAGAAAGGCAGCAGTTCCCTTCTGAGCTGTCTGTGTTGGCACATGCAGTACATTTCTTGCAGGGCACCCAACGCTGACCCCAGCCAAGACTGCTTCCAGCCCATGTATCCCAGGGGGTCCTGCTGCGAGGGAGGGGGTGGGCACCAATCCAGAGCAGTTCCCTAGGCCCCAAACCGGATGCAGACGCTGTTTGCCCAGCAAGGTAAGCAATAATCTTTCCCTCTATTCCTGGCTCTTGGAGATTTGCCTCTCTCAGGGGAAATTACTTTGGGGTCACAGCGAAATTTCTGTGATAGCTAATAAAGTGACCTTTCTGTTTCTGGAACCAGATCCTGGAGCCTTGGACCCTGGGGAACGTGCATGTACTTTCTCTCCTCGTTTACTCACCAGTGGAGGTGGAGGAGGTGGACTGGAGGGTGGGCTCACTCCATAGTGACTTTGTTATTTGCAAACATGGAACCCTGGGACTGGGGTTTCTCTTTCAGGGCTGGAAGTGTTATCCAATTGTGTGTGGGGAGATTCAGGATGGCAATGGCAACCGTCAATGAGGCAAACCTGAGCTGGGCACCGAGCCCAGAGCTGGGCATACAGACTGGCAGCCAGGGCCCAGGATTCAGACTGTGCACTGGCCTGCAGCAGCCGCCATGTCAGGGTTCCAGTATGGCTCTGTCATCTAACCTTCCCAAGTTACTTCAGCTTTCTAAGACTCCATTTCTACACCCAGAAAACTAGATAATAGTGTAACAGGACTCACACCATATAGGCTTCCTTGGCAGCTCCAGGATTTAGGATCAAGGAAAACATATCAGAGGGAGCTGATCTGGTTTCAGGGCAGTGAGTTGGGGGAGCTGCTCGTGAGGCCGTAGTTGCATAGTGAGGCCCTGTTTCCACTTAGATGGTATAATCTGGAGGTGGTTCTGGAGAAGGGATCCCCTTACCCTGCAACTTCCTGGCCCTGCCCTTAGGAATAAATCAGATCCTGTGGAGAATTGCCCAGCTCAGGGCTTGTTACACAATGAGTATGGAATATGCTGAAGGACTTGTCTTATTGCGTTTGTTAACCATGGGCTCTTGCGTAGGATGAGTTTGTAGCCACATAGCCAGTGGTTATACACAGCATCATAATGTCCCAGGCATTATGCGAGTGCACAGAAAGCTTGTTTAATTCTGCCTGGGAATTAAACGGACTTCTTGCCAGGACATCTTAACTGAGGTGCAAAGGATGCACCTGTGCTCACCAGGTGGGTGGGCGCGCTCAGGGGGAGTGCAAAGGGAGAGTGAGCCAGGGGCAGCCAGTAAAGTGCACAACCCAGCCACCAGCAAGAGACTCAGTGGGAGAACTGGGTGGGGCAGCCCTGAAAGCCATCTGAAGATAGGGATTCTCTGTCCCAAACCCAGACGTCTGGTGGTTAGCTATGTCGCCAATGTGGAGAGAGGGTCAGAGGCAAGAGACCAGTTAGGAGGCTGCCCCATCCCAGGCCAGCCAGAGACTCCATGGAAGGTCAAAGTGGCTGGAAGGGAAGGGCAGGAGGATCAGATTCAGAAAGCTGATGGGGGTGAGGATGCTGAGTTTCAGAGACAGAATACAGAGAACACCAACTGTGGTACAAACCAGCTGGAAACACCCTGCTTGCCTTTTCTAAACAGTACCTTCATCAGGGATATGCTAGGGCTGACTCAGAAAAGCACCAGAACAGTGGACAAGCTGCTGCTTCTCTTATGGTGTCACTGTGTAGCCTCTGGTGACCAGCTAAGCCCTCCTTACTGAGCAAAGAAGGTGAGAACCCAAAGAAGAACATTGCTGATTTCCCAACCACCTGTCTAGGTCACAGAACTAATAGCTAACATTTATTGTGTGCTTACTGTGTGAAGAAACTGCTGAACCCTGGCAGGCTTCATTCATCCTGGTAAAAATCCAAAGGGGTGTTATCCTCATTTTGCAAAAGAAGAGACTGAAGGTCAGAGAGGTTATGCCTCTGCCAAAGTTGTAGAGCAGAGGGAGTGGAGCCAGGCTCTCCGTGGCCTGCACAGTGGACAGAACACTTGCAGACTCTTACCTCCTCTTGGCTTCCTTGTCTTCCCATCAATCTCCTTCCCTGAGATTACAAATCTGTATAGCATGGGGACTTGAACCGGGACCACTATCTCAAAGTCCAGTATTCTTACTACCCTGCCCTCCTCAGTGGAATATAATTTTGATCTTTTATCTAATTCCTGGTGGAAGGTGGTGGGGGATTCCTGATTGTAATCAACTTCTGGCTTTTTATGATCTACCTGGGATGTAAAAAGATCTGGGCAGAGGTTGCAGAGGACAACAAACTGAAACAGAGCCCAGGGAGCAACAGGCCACCGGGATCCAGCCCATTTCTGTGGCTTCCTTCCAGCACAAGCCTCACACTCCATAGTTCCTAGTGGAAGAAGGGACGTGTGGTGGGTGCAGCCTCTGAACATACAGCCCTGTGGGTATCTGCCATCCCACCTGGACCCCCACAGCAGCGGTCTGCACGTCTCTGTCCTTCATCTGGCCCCTCTGTGGCCAGCCTTACCTCTCCATTAGCCCCAGTGCCAGCTCCTTCCCCATTTTCATCAGCCGAGATCCAGCCATTAAGATGCTGACCCAGTCCTGGAGGTTCTTAAGGGGATTGGACCTAGGTTTCTAACAAACAAGGGACCCTCAGAAGAGGTGAAGAAGTGGGGTCAGGTTGGCCTCAGCTGAACTGAGCTGAGCTCTCTCATGCCTGGTCTGACTGCCCACTATAAGCTCAAGAGGTCCCTGACTGCCACAGTGAATAAACTTGAGGTTTAATCAGGGTTGCTGGTTAGGCCTTGAAAAGTCTCAGCCAAGTTGTCTTAATTCCCTGGAGGAGGTCGTGGAGCTAGAGGGTCCCCTCCCGAGACCCTCTGCTGTGTCCAAACCAAATTATTAAGGGATTAAGCATGAAGAACACAGACAGTACCTAGAGAACTTAAGATGCCAGGGCACTTGGTAAAACAGCCCAATTTTACTTTAAAAATTTTAAAATACAGCATGTTGCCCAGCTATGGCCCTGTCCTGCGAGTCACTGCTCTAAGAGTTACAAGACGCTTAGGTTTCATGTGCAGGAATGCGCAAATGCCAAACACCTGCAGGGGAGAAAGGTATGTGCCATCCTTTTGTTTAATTTACTGTCTGAAAACATTTGTATAAGAAAAGAATGCACAAATGAGCTTTCCAGTATGATCTGGGGTCCGGGTGGAACAAATTGCTTCACCTGCAGCTGTGCCGTCCATCTGCGCATTGATCCCTGTTTATGTGTCCATGTGTGACGTAGACCATAGGAGAGGCACTACACAACTAACACTCTGGTTCCTTACCCACAAATATCTCTAAATTCCTCTGTATCTGTATTTGTAAATATTTTATGTAAACCAGATGGATTTATAGAACACGTGCAGCAGAATCTGGTTTTATTTTTTAACAACATGTACTATAAAATGCTTCAGAAAAACGATCTGTGCATTTGAAAGAAAAAAAAAGATTTCTGGGTCTACTTCTGAAACAGCAAGAGAATCAATTACACTCTCTTAGGAAGCTCTGCTCAGAACTGACTTTTGGGTCCACAGAAGTTGCTTCAGAGCAGTGGCTCCAAGTGTGCATGTTATAATCACCTGGGGGAGATTTTGGACCTT